TTTTTTTTTTTTTTTTTTTTTAGTTGGAGTCACTCTGTCACCCAGGCTAGAGTGCAGCTCACGGCCACCTCAACCTCAACCTGCTGGGCTTAGGCGATACTTCCTCCTCAGCCTTCCAAGTAGCCATAACCACAGGTGCATACTACCATGCCTGGCTTATTTTTTTTTTTTTAATTTATTTATTGTAGAGACAAGGTCTCACCAAGTTGTCCAGGCTGGTCTCGAACCTCCGGGCTTGGGCAATCCTCTTACCCCAGCCTCCCAAAGCGCTGGGATGACAGGCTGAGTCACTGCACCTGGCCTAGAAATTTTAAAATTACATAGTGCCTTCATTTGAGGCTTGCCTTGCATCTCTATTGTACAGCATGGGTGCAGAAAGATGTCGCATCTACAGCAGGGAAAGGGCCATGAGATTATGGAGGGGGTAACAGGAGAGCAGATAGAAGGAAAAGAAGGCATTTAAGTGCGGCCATCCAAGAGTTTGTCAAATGGAAACAAGGCAAGGAGACGGCTTGGAAGTCTAAATCTAAGGGGAGATAAACTTTTACCGAGTGTTATACAAGGATATAAGAACAATGATTATCCAACCTAAGGGGACAGAAAGGCATCTTTAAAAAAAACATGGCCAAGAGCGGTGGCTCATGTCTGTCATCCCAGAGATGGGATGGCTGAGGTGGGAGAAACGCTTGCGCCCAGGAGTTCGAGACCACCCTGAGCAGCATGGCGAGACCTCATCTCTACCGAAAAAGAGAAAAAGAAAAAAAGAAAGAAAAGAAAACATAAAATGAAAAGCTGATTATTACATAGACCACTTCAAATTTTAAAACTTCTTCAAGATACCATAAGCCATTGAAGACACCATACACGCAAGAGAACTGACACATTGAAAGGGCATAGATGCAACATACATTACAAAGATTGAACACCCAAAATACATAAATAGCTTCTCTAGGACCAATAAAAAGAGAGAGACATGACGTAAAGAAAAATTGCCAAGGGATAGGAATAAGAATAAACATTACAGTCCATTGTAAAAGTATGCTCAACCTCAAAGATCATCAGGACACTCCACCGTACAACGAAGTGTTTCAGTCACCTGCATGCAAAATGCCTAATGACAGATGGACCCGGTGTCAGTAAGGGTCGGGAGAAACGACACTGTCTGACACCACTGGTGAAAATGTGAATCGCTACACCCATTGAGAGGAGAATTTGGAAATGATTCACGTTTAGACTGGCCCTATTCATTCATACTGAAAGTCTGCTTCTCAGCATCTAGAAAAACATTTGCAAACAGAGCACTGTGGCGATGAAAAATTACAGGAAATAAGTATATGTGTCTTCAACAGGGAGATGAGGATGTGAATTTTGGTGCATCCACATTATGAAATGCTGTGCAAAACGGATCCAGCATTCATAGAAATTCCTGCCCAGGCACAGCGGCTCATGCCTGTAATCCTAGCACTTTGGGAGGCTGAGGTGGGAGGGTCTTTGGAGCCCAGGAGTTTGAGGCCAGCTTGGGCAACATAGCCAGACCTCATCTCTACAAGTAGTAACAAAAATTAGCCAGGCATAGTGGCATGTGTCTACATTTCCAGCTACTTGAGAGGCTGAGGTGGGAGGATTGCTGAGCTCAGGAGTTTCAGGCCGCGGTGAGTCATGTTCGTGCCATTTCAACCTGGGTGACAGAGTGAGACTGACTCAAAAATAAAAAAATCTCGGCCAGCTGGTACTTTAAAATTTATGTCTAGTCAATTTGGAGAATCAAGTTTATATACACATTCTTATGAATTCTTTAAGTAAGATTTGTATGTGAATATATCTTGTTCAGAACACACACAAGAACACATTTGAGAATTTACTTGAAGCTTGCCATTTGGCTCTAGAATATTTTGTCCTCTAAAAGCAAATTTGATTTGATATTATATACAACTTTAAAATTATAGAGCTAATATTTGTTTATCATCATAAGCATTTAAATAAACACCGAAATGGCCAGATTTGGAAAGGAATCTTTTAATGGCAGTTAAAAATAAAGGCATGCAAAAAAGGAAATTTGTTCTGAGGTTAAAATCTAAACATTGGCTTATAATAGTTTCATCGCGTTAATGTCTCTCTTACCAAGGATGTTCTTTAGCTGCACCACTGCTAGTCACATTGCTAGACACAGAGGAGGTTCAAGTTAAAAGACACAGTCTCTGCTCATAAGCAACTCGAAATCTGGAAAATTTCCTTGGAGAGATGACAAATGTGTGGTCTCTGGTGAAAAATATTTTATGTAGTGTCTGAGAAGTTATTTACCCAAGAACTGTCAGGGTTTTTCTTGAGTAAAATGAATTGGATTGCAAGGGAAGGGGAGAAAGTTTATAGTTTCTATTACAAGATGGTGCATATTACAAAAATCTGGCTTTCTCTATCACATCAACATTGAAGTGAGTTTTACCAGAAGACACGGTTCTTACTACTTTCTAGACATTACTTTTTCTTTGCACACGCAGTTCCCTCCAACTAGCCAACCCTTCCCTTTCCTCCGGTTTTTTGTTTTATTTATTTATTGATTTGGGTGGGGTAAGGATGGAGTCTTGCTATGTTGCCCAGGCTGGTCTCAAACTCCTGGGTTCCAAAGACCCTCCCACCTCAGTATCCCAAAGTGCTAGGGTTAAAGGCATGAGCCACACCGCTCTACCTAGCCAAGATTATTTTTTTTTAGATTAGAAAATATAGTTTATTTAGAAAGCAAATTAGAGAGAAAGAGAGAGATTCACCTCTCCAAGGTAGGGGAGGAGGCCAAAGCTTAGGAAACATAGTGGCGGCCATAACTCAGAGAGCACATGACCACACCAGAGTCTAGTAAGGAAGTGACCGCCAAGACTTGTCAGGTAGTAAATAAACATTTAACACCTCTGCTTTTGAATTTGCTGTTTTCGTGCATTTCATGTGGGAGCAATGCCTCTATGTCGTCTTGCGTTGATGAACTGTGAGGGCTCAGTGATCTGTAGCCTAGACTACACGCCTGTGAAAATGTGCATATCTAAGGCAATGTCAGGTCCATGGAGTCATTCATTAATCATTAACTAATGACATGGCAGGTTCTTAGCATTTTCTCTCTCTCTCTGTCACACACACACACACACACACACACACATACACACACAACCATCCTTCTGTTTAGTTTTGAAAGACAAGTCATCTTCTTCTAAAATGACAGTTTCAAGTCACTGACGGGAAGTACATTTTTTTCCTAGTCCTTCCTACCGAGTTTGTGATGTTTGGCCACCTTCCTTGAAGTCTTTAGAAAATAACATGGTTTGGGGGAAAAAATAGCCTTTCTGGGAAGTAATAAGACAAAGTATCCAGTTCATATTAAATACCTTCCGTTTCTTTCTGGTATCCCTCCAAGTACCCCAGTCAACCTCAGTCAACCTTTCCAAACAAGGTGCTCGGTGTGGCTATCTTTGCAAACAAAAATTTTGCAATCGGCTCCTAAAATTACAAACCAACGCCATATTTTCCAGATCTTCTCCCTGTGAACAGCCAAACCAAATTTTCCTTTAAGTTCCTAAACGCTGACCATTTGGAAACATCTGGATATTTGGACATTTTTCACTTTGGCTGGGGGGGGGAACAAACAAGATAAACACAGCACCACGTGGAGACAACTGCCAGAATTCCTTGAAAATGTGCCAGAGATCCACTTCAAGCAAATCTGAGTCTTCTCCTTCCCCAGTCAGGAGAATGGCAGAACTGCACCTTGCCCTTGACACTTAGAGCTAGGGGTCAAGGACAAAAAGTCCCACCGCGCTCTGTGAGAACGAATGCCCTACGGCGGCTATCACAGGCACCAGGACCAGAGAGGGAAGCAGAGGCTGGTGCCGTCGAGTGACGACTGCTTGGGGTTTGGCGTTGTTTCTGTAAAGCAGAAGGAGCCAACGGTGTCCTCAGACTTGCAGGTCCCACGCCGGGGCCCCTGGCCACAGCCTCCTGAGCACTGAGGGGAGGCCAGTGCAAAGAGATGTGCAGCAGGGGCGAGATCCACACTGGACTTCGAGGACTGAGTATGACACAGAGAATGTAGAAGGTCTCGACCATTCTTCGTGACGCTGAAGAGCCGTTTCAGTGGCAATGCTTTGGATGTACTGGGTCCGATAAAATATATTTTAAAAATTAAGGGTCTGTCATGGTGGCTCATGCCTGTAATCTCAGCACTTTGGGAGGTCGAGGTGGAAGGATCGCTTGAGTCCAGGAGTTCGAGACCAGCCTAGGCAACACAGCGAGACCTGATCTCTACAAAAAATCAGAAAATCAGCCAGGCGTGGTGGTGTGTGCCAATGGTCCCAGCTGCTCAAGAAGCTGAAGTGGAAAGATCACTTGAGCCTAGGAGGTTGAGGTTGCGGTGAGCCGTGATCCATGCCACTGCACTCCAGCCTGGGCAACAGAGTGAGACACACACACACACACACACACACACACACACACACACACACACACCACATTAAGGTTGGGCACAGTGGCACACACTATAAGTCCAGCACTTTGGGAGGCGAAGGTGCGAGAATCGCCAGAAGCTAGAGTTTCGGACCAGCCTGGGCAACATATCGAGAACTCATGTCTATATTTAAAATAATAATAATACATAAAAATTTAAAAATTAACCTCCACAGATTCTACTTGCTTTTTTAAAAGTAACCACTGGAAAATCTGGAAGCACACGTAGGGCTCAAATTCGGAGATTGCTTTTTATTTCAACGGGCCAACACGGCCTTGTCTTTCCAATGATTTTTCTCAGCAGCCATCAAATCTCGAGCTGCTTGTCTTTCCACCACCCGCCCAAACACTCATCGGATCGGATCTGAGGACACACTTTCTGGGTCTCTTTCCCTGAAAGCAGCAGAGTTGGACAAAGTCCAGACCCGAGCGCTTCCTGCCAACTGAAAGTCCAGCCAACTCCATCCACCCTGCGACGCCCACCGCAGCCCCAAGAAAACACAGACACAGCTCTCCCGGAAAGACACAGCTCCCTGGACGACACAGCTCCCGGGACCACACAGCTCCCGGGACCACACAGCTTCGGGACAGGTGGGGCAGGAGATCTGAGCAACACAAAAACAACAAAACAGCACCATACAAAAGACAGCACTCCAACACACTCCAAACCCCACGTGAATCACTCCTGAAATTCACTCCCAACTTTGTTCAAAGTCATCGCGACTTCCTTAGAATGCCTCTCAGCCCCGTCCCCCTCTAGAGACGAGGGCCTGAGATATCTTTGAGACGTGGAAGCTGCCCAAGTCACCGTCCTCACCCGTGTGAACCGTTCCTTTCTGGTGGTTCGGTGGGGGGGGGGTGTGCACGCGTGTGTGTATGTTAACAATGAGCACCGAGATGTGTACTCAAACATCCCTTCGTCTGCTTTTTCCCTCCTCGAGTTGCAGGCTGGGTCGTGCAGCATCCCTGTTTTGGGCCCCAAAGTCTCGGTTCGGCCCTGCTTGTGGGTACGTGGACCCACTCACTCTCAGCTCATACACAGGCTAGCCCACCGGGAGGGGACTCCTCGGGAAGTCCCGTCCTCTGTCCTGAGCCTCCCCTGGACGTGGCGCACAGAGCTCCCACCACGCTCTGTACCCAGGGAGAAGCCTCTTGCATTCTGCTTTCCTTCCGAGACCCGTGCCCTTACCTTGACCTGCTCATTGGAGGTGACCGCGCAGAAAACAATCTCCGTGAATCCTTGGGATGGGAACATCCGGAAACAGATGCCTCCGATGACGCGGCCATCTTTAATTAAAGCGAGGGTTTTGTGTTTCCTGAAAAAAACAAGAGGACGTCAGAGTCTCCCCTCTCTTGGTTCGATAAACATGCCTTTGGGGGTGCTCCTTAGTAACCAACCAGGAAAGGGGGGGCAAGCATGTCTTGAGTTTCTATGGAGACTTCCACCATCTAGCCACTTGTTCGGATATAAGACAAGTTAACCCTAATGGGTTCCGAGCAAGTTTATCCGCACAAGCCCTGGCCAGAACTCCCGCCGAAACAACATGCCAGTCACCTAATAAGTGTCTGAGGTGTACAGAGAACAGAGGCTGGGCACGGAGGCTCATGCCTGTCATCCCAGCACTTTGGGGAGGCCAAGGCAGGAGGATCGCTTGAGTCCAGGAGTTCAAGACCAGCCTGGGCATCATAGCAAGACCCTGTGTCTAAAATAGTCAACATCGATCAATTAATTAATTAATTTTTCAAAAACAAACGGAGAACAGAGGTGCGTGGAGACCTCCAGAACGGGAACAGCCAAGGTCAAGAGACTCACTGGGGAACAGCGTGACGTCATGGCCAGACATGGCATATGTCTCTGAGGAATGAAACCTCACTCCAAAATATTATAGAGACATTACGGAAAAGGATGAAAAACCCATGTGGACAGTTTGCCAAGACTCGCATTTCAAACGCTGATCAGACCTCTTCTCTGTCTAAAGCGTCACTCAGAATTGTCACAGGCATGGACCCCGGTCCACATAGACTACTGGGCTGTCGATATTCAAGTCATTCCATCAGATAATTTAGTGCTTTTGGTTGTTTTTGGTGTGTGTGAGTGTATGTGTGTCTGTGCGTGTGTGTTTTAAAACAATGGATTTCCGAAGTTAACTTGTCTTATATCCTAACAAGTTTCCCAGGGCTTACAGACCTGGGCAACCACAGTACCCAGTTAAGGCACCAAAATAAGAATGATCTGATGAAGAAAAAAGTGGGCCATCTTCTTAGCGTTTATATTCTCTCCTAGCTCCAATGAGCAAAGCAATAGGATAGCCACAGCAAATAAAATATAAGGCTCCATCATTATTATGATTATAATTATTATTGAGTCAGGGTCCCAGTCTGTCACCCAGGCTGGAGTGCAGTGGCATGATCACAGCTCACTGCAGCCAGAAACTCCTGGACTCAGGAGATCCTTCAGCCTCAACCTCCCTCATAGCTGGAACTACAGGCGCATACCACCACAGCCGGCTTTGTGTGTGTGTTTGTGTGTGTGTGTTTTGTAGAGAGGAGGTCTCATTATATTGCCCAGGCTGGGCTCAAGCAATCCTCCCACCTCGGCCTCCCAAAGTGCTGGGATGACAGGCGTGAGCCACCACACCCAGCCCAAGGCTTCACTGTCATTAACCAGAAAACGTATACACAGTTGCAAGCAGTCGTCGTGCTTTCTGACATGGAAACCAGCTTGAGGCGGCCCTGCGTCCACAGCGCGGAAGTGGCAGGATCCACGGGGGACTCGAGCTGACCCTCCACCTCCGAGCAGCCCGCTTTCGTTCCAGGGGAGGGAGGAGGGCGAGGGCAGGCCGCTTACGGGTCGAAGACGAGGCGTGTGATGTACTCCTTGGGCATGCGAGGCAGCTGGTGGGAGAAGACGTTCTGCAGACCCACCAGCCACATCAGGACCCGCTTGTTGGGCTTCTGGCTGAGTGAGTTGCCGACCACGTGGAACTCGATGACGCCCCTGCGCTCCTCCAGCCTGGCGGCCTCGTCCCTGGCCGAGTGCGCGGACAGAAAGTTGGTCTGAGATGCAAGAGACAGAGCCGGTTACACAGAGCTCTGCTCGTGGGACGGCGGGGGGTGGGACACAGCCACGCTGGCCTCCTTTGCTCTAAGGAGACGCCCAGTCGTGGGTTTCCAGGGTCCGAAACACACACGGGTGTGCATGCACGGGCGCCCAGCACGCCCAGACACACATGCACGCACACGCGCACACACACGTCATGAGGACAAGACAGAAAGGGCAGGGAAGTGTCTTGGGAAATCAGAGTATCTACGTATACAGGATGATATCAGGGACCAGAAACTTCTCTGTAAAGGGCCAGATAGAAATATTTTAGTCCAGGCATAGTGGCTCACGCCTATAATCCCAGCACTCTGGGAGGCTGAGGGCGAGAGAATTGCAGGGGTTTGACACCTGTCTGGGCAACAGAGTGAGACTTCATCTCTACAAAAAAAAAAAAGAAAAAAATTAGCCAGGCATGGTGACATGCGCCTGTAGTCCCAGCTATTCGGGTGACTAAGACTGAAGGATCACCTGAGCCCTGGAGGTCAAGGCTGCGGTGAGCCATGATCGTGCCACTGCACTCTATCCTGGGCCATAGAGTGAGACCCTGACTCAAAAGAGAGAAAGAGAGAGAGAGAGAGAGAGAGAAAGGGAGGGAGGTGGGAGGGAGGGAGGGAGGAAGAAAAGAGAAAAAGAGAGATTGGGAAAGGAAAGGAAAAGGAGATAACTTTAGAAATTATGAGTCATAAGATTCTGCTTCTATCCCAATACAGCTGTAATGTGGAAGAAACCATAGACAGTATGTTGCAGAATGGATGTAGCATTGTTCTAATAAAATGCTATTTAAAAAAAAAAACAGAGTCAGGCACGGTGGCTCACGCTTGTAATCCTAACATTTTGAGAGGCGGAGGCAAGAGGAATGCTGGAGCCCAAGGGTTCAGGACCAACCTAGGCACTTGGTAAGACCTCGTCTCTATAATAAAAATCAAAAAATTAGCTGGGCATGATGGCATGCCACTGTAGTTCCAGGTACTTGGAAGCCTGAGGCAGAAGGATCAATTGAGTTCAGCAGGTCGAGGCTGTGGTGGCCGTGAGCATGCCACTGCACTTCAGCCTAGGTGACAGAGTGAGACACCAACTCAAAAACGAAACAAAACAAAACAAACAAACAAACAAAGACAGAGAGCAGACCAGATTTGGCATGTGGGTTAGAGTTTGACAACCTCTGGTTTAGAGGACTCCTCTCTGGCTGAACTTTAGAAGACCCTTAGGATAACAGGTCCAAGTTCTCACTCCAGGCCCAATAGTGGCAGTCACACTTATGTCCTTTTAAAATGTACATATTTGTTTCTTATTGTTTTAAAGATGAGGTCTTGCTATGTTGGCCAGGCTTGTCTTGAACTCTGGCCTCAAGCGATCCTCCTATCTTGACCTCCCAAAGTGCTGGGATTACAGGTGTGAGCCACTGCACCCAGCTTATGCTTTTGTTGTTAACCCATCTTTTCGGGGGACAGTTTTCTTTCCGGAGGAATATCTGCGCGCCCACAAGCTGGCAGCACACCCCTGCCAGCACATGGAAGCTCCCACCCTATTTAATCTGCCCAGTGGCATGCAGGCAAATGCCCAGCCATCAGCTCTTCAGGGAAGAAAAACCCTCTCGGGTAGCACTTGCTTGTTTCCTTAGTCCACAGCTGGCTGTCCAGGCGACCACATGCCACCGTGATCAGTTTCAGGTTATCAACATAGTTACCAACCAACTCACAACACTCCTGACAATTTAATACTTTTCTTGTGCATGCTAGTACAAGCCGGCACACAACCACATACACCCAAGAAATTTTGAAATGTGTGGTTGCATCACCATTTTACAGCTAAAAAGTGCAACCCAGCTAATCTATGAGGTTGCTGAATCTCCAAAGGACTGCAAACTTCAGGCCTCACAGGCTGGATATTTAGAAATGGACAAAACAATTGAATGATGAGATCTGTCTATTACAACATTCTGCTTCTTGGAAATATCCTCAAGATTATAAAATAAATACCTCAGGAAACTAAACAAGTTAAAAATTGATACTTTAGGCCAGGCATGGTGGCTCACACCTGTAATCCCAGCACTTTGGGAGACCAAGGCAAGAGGATTGCTTGAGCCCAGGAGTTCAAGATGATCCTGGACAACATGGTGAGACCCCATCTCTAGAAAAAAAAAATCAAAAAACTTAGCCAGACGTGGTGGCATGCGCCCGTAGTCCCAGCTAACTCAGGAGGCTGAGGCAGAAGGATCGCCTGAGCCCAGGAAGTTGAGGCTGTAACAAACTGTGATCGTGCCACAGCACTCCAGCTTGGGTGACAGAGTGAGACACCTGACTCAAAAAAAAAAAAAAAAAAAGAACTAATACAATGTATGATTTCCAACTGTTCCGTCCACAACAGCAGCTAAATTTTCTAAGAACAACAACTGAGCTGTGGCTGATGTAAGAGAAAGGCCTTATTTTTATGAGATACAGCTTGTAAGAACATAGTGAGGGGTGAAGTGTCAAGAAATGGATCCAAATCGTTCCCAGGAGAGAGGAGGTAGAGGCTGCAAACTGGATCTAAGGGAAGAGTCGAAGGATTTTGATCACAGTTTTTTGTTTTTGAGTCAGAGTCTCACTCTGTCGCCCAGGCTGGAGTGCAGTGGCATGCTCACAGCTACCGCAGCCTAGACCTGCTGGGCCCAGGGGAACCAAGTAGCAGGGACTACTGGTGCACGCCACCATGCCTGGCTACTTTTTTTGATTTATTGTAGAGACAAGGTCTCGCCAAGTTGTAAGAGAAAGGCCAAGTTGCCCAGGCTGGTCTCGAACCCCTGGGCTCGATCAGTCCTCGAACCCCTGGGCTCAGGCAGTCCTCTCACCTCAGCCTCCCAAAATGCTGGGATTATAGGCGTGAGCCACCGCACCAGGCCTTGATCACAGTTGTGTGACACTCCTGAGAGCTTGAAATATTTCGAGCTAAAAAGTTGGGAGATGCCTTCAACTGTGTGAGAGCATATGAGTTCATGGTCCTGCACATGACATTCATCCAGGGGAACACTCCTGGACCAGTCCTCCTGCTCTGCCGCTCCCCCCGCCCCCTGCAGGGACCACCAGCTTAAACACAAGCCAGGCAGCACAGCACGCCTACTCTCTGCAGGACCCTCCCTACTTCTGACAGCTAGAGTGCCCGGGGAAGCAGAGGAGGCCTCCCCGCTGGACCCCAGGGACCCCACTGACCTCTGGTCCCAACATCGCTGCAGGGTCTGTGATGGTAGACATGACCTCGTTGATTAACTCCATCGGAATATCCCCCATCACTCGGGGCCTCTTGGCCTCCTCTGGGACGTGAGAATCGTTCATTTTCCTCTTTTCGCCTAAGACGATCAAAACAAAAGGCAAGCCGTGGGTGGCTGTCAACACAAAGCAGACAGTACCTGCCCGGGGAACCAATGGCCTTCCCAACAGCCCGGTGGGTGGGGGTTTGATGACGGCCAGGCCCAGATGCACGTGGGACATTTTCTGCCATCCTTTTTTAACTTGGCACCTGAGTTATTAAAGCACATTTTTTTGAAGCCAGTGAAACTGAGCAGTGGTGGCTGTGCACCCACTCTAGGGACAGTCATGCTAACAAAGCTCTGATAAGCCACAAATTCCTTCATTTGCAAATGCCAGGGGATGACTTCAGCTGTTGTCAGTCACTCCAACACAGGCCCTTTGAGGTCAGAGAACGTGGTCCTCAGGGACAGCAAGATTTTGTCACAAGTGTCTGAAACTTGCCTTATGGCCTAAACTAAGACCATTTTCGGTAGCGGTGATGAATCTTCTTGGAAAGAACGTGTGATTTCCAGTTTTATCTCTGGACACCCATTAGCTCAAGCCCAATTGATCATGTTTTACGAGCATCTCGAACCTTCCTGATACTTCTGTCTGCTTGATCTATGAATGACTCAGAGACATCTGGTTAAACCTTCAGCTGCTGGTGGATTCAATTCCCTCTCCTTGTATTTATGTCAACCCCCCCCCCCGCATATATGTATACACACACACACACACACACACACACACACACACACACACGTATATCCATGTACCTTATACATGTTTGTGTATGTATGTTTGTATGCATGTACCTTATACATGTTTATGTATATTTAAAACATCCTATGAATTGTTATATTGTTGGGTTTTTTTTAAGTTGGAATCTTACTCCATTGCCCAGACTGGAGTGCAGTGGCACACTCACAGCCACCCCAGCGTCGACCTGCTGGGCACCGGCAATCCTTCCGCTTCAGCCTTCCAAGTACCCGGAACTACAGGCGGGCGCTACCACGCCCGGCTAATTTTTGATTTATTGTAGAGACGAGGTCTCACCAAGTTGCCCGGGCTGGTCTCAGAACCTACAGGCTCAAGCAATCCACTCTCCTCGGCCTCCCAAAGTGCTGGGACGACAGGTTGAACCACTGAGCCCGGCCTGTTTTATTCTTAATAAGCAATTAAAATAGTGAACTTAACTGCTCATCATAAAGTGATCTATTTTATCTGTCACAATGCTTTTTGGCCTTAAAATGGCACCTCATAAACTGAGCAAGGCCTTTGAAGAGACATGATGTCACCAAGCCCCATGCTGGGAGAAGCCCTGAGAAGGCCAAGAGAAACTTCTCCCACTTTCCCCATGAGATTAAGAGTTGATTTTTTCCTCCTCTCTACTCTCATATGAAAGGGGAAAAAAACTGGTTTCTCCAGGGGTTTTTTTTTTCTGACATAACCTGTATTTATTTTTATATTTTTTAAGTTTTTAGATGCCCAGATCTAATTCGTCCCTCAAGGTTAATCCCACCAAGCAATTTCCATCGGGCATTCTCACGAGCCTTCGCTCAAAAAGAGCAGAATAATGGAAGTTCTCACCTATGGAAGATGCTTCCAGAAGTATCACATATGACTTACGTATCGCCCTTATTGAGGTCTTATTTTTATAACTCCATTGTTGTTGACCATGATTCCCAAAGGAGGATGCTGAAAACTGTATATTTCACAGCTGAGGTTTGTACCTTCGATGCCCCAGACCCGACTGTCTGCTCCAGTGCTGTGATAAGCAGTCTGATGCGCCCACGCTCACTGGCAGGGCGTTTCTGGGTGGATCAGTGACGTCTGTCTCCCTTGGAAGCGAGAGAGAGAGATGGTGGCACATGCAAAGTCTTGGCCGCTTCACACGAGGTCCTCTTCTCTCCCTCCTTCATGCCTCTACTTTTCCTTCAAAATGTGGTCCTATCCAAGGCTCATCTGACATCAAGTCCGTGGACAGAACCTTCAAAATATCTGTAACTGTGAAACGCTTCTAGGATTAAGATGTGCTTCTGCCCACGTGGAAGATTACGTAACAGCCAAAGTCTTGACCCCCAGGGACCCACACGCTTTGCCGTGTGACTTTGCAGATATTCCTACGAAAGGAACAGGCCACATTTCTCCACTTTTCCACCGCTTGATGCTGAGTTCAGCCACGTGACTGGCTTTAGATGCCAGCGTGAGGCAGAAGTGATGACTTATACTTACAAGGTGCGAGAGACAGGGTGTTTCTGCTCGCTTTAGGGTGCTTCTGCCACCCTCACATGAAGGACGTGTTTTGGGCAGCCCAGTGCTCCCAGAAGGGGGTATGAGAAACACGTGGAGCAGAGATGCTTCCGCTGAAGTGCGCAGGCAAGCCAAGGCCAGAACAGAGGTGCCCGCCAATGGGTAGATCCATGAATGAGCCCAGCAGAGACCGAATGAGACCCACTGAGATCAGCCAACCCCCCGGGCAACACACTCAATGAGGGAGCTATGGTGGTAAGGTATTAGGGCTTTAGGACTGCATTTGGGGTTGGTTTGTTACACAGCAGTAACTAACCAATACAGCCCAAAGCCTAATGCAAAATTCTTTCCAGCCACCAGGACCCTGGACGTGCACCGTCTCAGCTGCTCTAAGTTTACCTTGATACTCCTCAGATAACAGAACTCCAGGGGAAAGCCACGGCCCTCTCTGATGCCCTCTCGAGAGCTTACCTGGGTTCACCTCGAGTCCAGAAGAGGCTTTGCAGGCAGGACTGCTGCTTCCTCCGTTCGGTGGCTCGAGGGAAGAGGTGTTTGAGTTGTACGAGACTGTCCCGGCCACAGGAGGTGGGTTGATCACTGCCCCAGCAAAAGGAGAAGAAGGTATTAGATGACTCCTTTCCCAGACAGCAAGGAACCAAGTGCACACGAGACTGCCCCATGTCTGCCCAACGCCGTAAAGACGGCATCTTTAAGATAAAAGCCACAAGGCAGCCAGACAGCAAAAACAGGTGTGAACTACGACGCATTAAGCAGAATAAAGACATCTAAATCCATGTCGATAAGTTAATAATGAGTAAATAAGTAAGCGAGGAGAAGGAAGAACTCTTCTTGATAGGAGAATGCCAACAAATAAACAAGGAAAAAATGACAGAAGCTAGAAAAAAATAAAATTTTTTTAAAAACAGCATCTGCAGCCTGGGCAACATAGTGAGACCTCGTCTCTAGAAAAACTAAAAAATTTGGTGAGCGTGGTGGTACGTACGTACATGCCTACAGTCCCATCTACTTGAGACGGTGAGGTAGGACCACCTGAGCCCAGGAGGTTGAAGTTGTGGTGAGCCGTGATCCTGTCATTGCACTCCAACCTGGGCAACAGAGTGAGACTCCAACTCGAGAAAAAAAAAATGCTGGGCTTGGTGCTCATGCCTGTAATTCCAGCATTTCGGAGGCTATGGTGGGAGGATTGCTTGAGCCCAGGAGTTCAAGACCAGCCTGGGCAGCATATAAGACCTCATGTCTGAAAAAAAAATTTTTTTTTTTTGTTCCTCCGGGTATATTCCCAGAAGGGGGATTGCAGGGTCATATGGAAGGTCGATTTTTATATCTTTTAGGAATTGCCCGACTGTTTTTGACAGAGGTCGTACTAGTTTACACTCCCACCAACAGTGTAGAAGTGTTCTGTTTTCTCCACTTCCTCTCCAGCATCTGTTGTTTTTTGAGTTATTGATAAGCCGGGCTGGGTGGCTCAGTCTGTCATTCCAGCACATTGGGAGGCAGAGGTGAGTGGATTGCCTGAGCCCGCCGGTTTGAGACCAGCGCCAGCAACTTGGCAAGACCTCGTCTCTACAATAAATAAATAAATAAATTAGCTGGGCATGGTAGCGCACATCTGTAGTTCCAGTTACTCAGAAGGCTGAGACAGAAGGATCGCCAGAGCCCAGCAGGTTGACGCTGGGGTGGTTGTGAGTGTGCCACTGAACTCCAACCTGAGCAATGGAGTGAGACTCTGATTCAGGAAGGAAAAAAAGAGTTAGTGATGAGGGCCAACCTGACTGATCTCTCACTGTGGTTTTAATTTGCATTTTTTGATAATTAGTGAAGCTGAGCACTTTTTCATGTATCTGTTGGCTGCTTGTATGTCTTCTTTTGAGAAGCGTCTGTTCATATCTTTTGCCCACTTTGTATCACACAGCCATAAAGAAAGACAAAATCATGAACTTTGCAGCAACTTGGATTGACTGAATGATCTACTACAGAAACAAAAACTGAGTACCACATGTTCTCACTCATAAGTAGACCCTGAACAATGATCACCATACTACAAGAAAGGTGTTGGCAGTTGAAGGAAACTGTCAGGGGAGGGAGGGGCACACCTCATCGACAAGGATACCTGCATAATGACCATTTGTATACCTAACCCTGAATTATACCCCACACTTTTAAAATAAAAATAATAAATTTTTAAAACTCAGCTGGGCATGATGGAGCACACCTGTAGTCCCAGCTACTTGGGACGCTGAGGCAGGAAGATCATCTGAGCCCAGGAGATCGAGGCTGTGGTGAGCCATGATCAGGCCTCCGCACTGCAGACTGGGCAACAGAGTGAGACCCCAACAACACAAACACACACACACACACACACACACACACACACACACACACACAGCCCATTTGGCAGTCACCCTACGATAACTGAATCTGGGAGGATCACATGTGTTGGCCAACCCGTGTGAGGATGATTGTGATGAAGACGGGAAACAGTCTCCAAAAGAACTTTTTGATCACAAAAGGAAAGGTGGTGACATTGCAGTGGAGGAGGCTGGTGACCCCACCTGAGCCCAGTGCCCAGACCCAATGCCAGCAACAGTGGGCAGGCTGACATCTCGAGCCGCCCGATACCACCAACCACACCGTCGAGACAAGAGGCCAAACGAAGCCGGCCTAGGGATTAGACAGCAGTATTACATCAGGGCTGGGCGCGATGTCTCACGCCTGTCATCCCAGCACTTTGGGAGGCCGAGGCGAGAGGACTGCCTGAGCCAGAGGTTCGAGACCAGCCCGGGCAACTTGACAAGACCTCGTCTCTACAATAAATCAAAAGAATTAGCTGGGCGTGGTGGCGTGCGCCTGTAGTTCCAGCTACTTGGAAGGCTGAGGTGGAAGGATCGCCTGAGACCAGCAGGTCGAGGCTGAGGTGGCCATGAGCATGCCGCTGCACTGTAGCCTGGGTAACGGAGTGAGACTCCAACTCAAAAAAATGAAATATATTTATGTATAATATCAAGGCAGAAAACTATATAGTTTTTTTTGTTTGTTTGTTTTGTTGTTGTTTTTTTTTTTTTTTTTTTTT